AGTTATCAGCTACAACTACATCATCCCTACTTGTGCTGAGCCCATATAACCCACAACCCGAAGCAGGGCTTCAATTTTCCACATCGCGACCAATGGCCAAGGCGTGCCTAATCGACAGGTTTTGAGTAGTTATGCCTGTGGCTCCCGGCTGAGTGCCAAACAGCTTTTGTTACGCATCTCGATACTGTGTGGAGTGAGCAGCTATGTTTTCGGCACGGCAAATTTGCAAGTCAGGACGTCAACTCTCCAAACGACAGCGGCAAAACCCCAAACAGCAGCACCCACGGGCCCCGAGAGCTTGCTGAAGCATTGAAGCCGCGTTCTGATACAACCGCCCACCTGACACCTTCCCTGAACGCTGCATGGAGCCGCATGTCGGTGCCTTTGGCCCACTTACTGCGCATTCCGTGCGATGGCCTGCTTCAGAATCACCTCTCTGGCCTGTTCCCCACAGGCCGCTGTCCTTGCAGTAGACTCGCGTCCAGTCCTGGCCACTTGGACGGCGTAAACTGAGGTCGAATTCCAGATACAGTTCCCTGGCATCTGATAGGTGCTGTGAACATTGCTGCGTCGCCGCCCTCGGAAGTAGGAGTTGGCCTTGCGCGTCCAGACGCGACCGCACTATCACATTTTTCTTCCAGCATTTGCAAGAACACTTCCATTATCCGAAGCCGATGCCCTCCTGCTGTTGCGATTCTGTGGTGCTTGCTGTAACCTGCTGTCGGGGGCGGAATCAGCTTTTGGATTCCATCTGGCACAAAACTGGAAGTACATGAAGGATGCACAGCATTGCACAGCCACGCTGCGTACAGGCTTTGCAGTGCGACCGGGTCGTTCCATGTAGCTTTGTGCGACGATCGCAACTATGCTCCAATATGTTCTGCCTTCCATCTGCTTCGGGCCTGGGTCTTGGCAGTGGCATGTTTATTAGGCTAACAGTCCGTCGTTGGTCTATTGGCTTGTTGTAAGATTATTGTGGCCGTAGTTGGTACAGTAGCCTCCGTGTATTCATGCTGCATTTTCCGGGGTTGGGACGATACCTAACTCAAAGCAACAATCCCCAGTAGCATGATTGTTGTTTTGCTTTCCGTCTAGCTCGACTCCGTGACCGGGTGGAGCTTTCGTTTTCGTCGTCCCTAAGGAGATCACCTTTTCAGGCAGTTGGCCCAACAACGCACGGCCTGTGATCGAGAAAGTCAGTCAGACCTTTGCGATCTTCTTCGTGTTCTACGTTACAATTATCGCATTTGCGGTCATAAGGGTGATAAGCGCCGTTTCTGATTCGTCAATGGAAATTTTTGGGTGTGGTCTGGTATGTTGGTTGAAACCGAAAATTGAAAAGGGTGCTCGGAAGCGGAACAGCAAAGGTTTTCCTCAAGGACACGCTCGAGGCGGCCCAGAATGACGCTGAACAGCTGATAGTCGAGCGCATGCACCAGAAGGCATCGTACATCGAGCAACTGGAAGGTGTTTTCAGAGCCATCGATGCAACTGGTACCGGCATGATCACGGAGGAGCGGCTCACCCAAATTCTCGCCAACCCCAAAGTCCAGGCATACTTTCAGACCATCGATCTGGACTTGCATGAAGGAACCGCGCTTTTCCACCTGCTGGCCAACGCGGACGGAGAGGCGAGGTGGGAGTAGCAAATGTCTCTTCTCCATTGTTCGTTTGTCGACCGTGACAGCATGACTGAGTAGCTCCATATATATATATATATACACGTGTATATATATATATATATATATGCATGTATCGTTCCTCGATCTATGACAGTATGACAACTTGTTCTGCTTCTACTTGTCTTTGCAGCCCTACACATCCAAAACGCCAACACACCATGAACCCCACCAACGACCGGCAAACACAACATGACCCCTCAAAATCCATGTCTCTGGGTTATGTTCCCCAAGGTCTATGTATGACCCCCAGCTTCGAGTTCATCATTCCCCCTCCCCCCCTCCCTGAGGTAACTCTCGATGAGTTCATAAATGGAGTACTACGATGCAGGGGTCCCGCACGTGCCATCGACCAAGTCGCCTTGCATGCGGACCTGGCGCGTCTTGAGGCAAAAGTGGACAAGATCGCAGACCACATACTTGGCCCTAGGCAACGAGTGACAGACCGCCGTGTCGAGAGCATGAAGGCCTTCCGCATTGACGCCTCTATCGAGGTCAAGAGTTTTCTGGCTAAAGCCACGAGTAGAACGATGAGTAGAACGATGAGCTTAAAACAATAAGTTGGTAACATGGAGTGTTGTGGTACTGTTCCAATAGGTTCCGGGTGGTAAGATCCCACCCTCAGCTTTCTGCATGATCTTCTATCGAAGACGTGGAAGAGATGTGGTGATGTTGTATATTAATTTCTAGCCGTCGAAGAGATGGCAATGTTATTTACACTCCTTCGCATATGACAGTGGCCGAGACAGAAATGCTCACAGATGATAATTGTTGAGATTGTCAGGCGTCTCCCCTGTCACATGTTGAAAGATTTTAACAATTGGCTCATGCGAAACCACGGCGAAAGTCAGTGGTTAGGAGCCGCATGGCGCGCCTTCAGTTTGTAGAGGTCGGGTTTGTTGGCGCACCGGAACTGCACGCTAATTCGTTCACACCGCTTGGGCCCATGGCAGACTTCCAGGTGCTTTGAGCTGCGTGTGCTTGGACATTGGTTCCTTTAATATTTTAGCGAGGCCGTGGCCAAGAGAGACAATGTCTGAGCACACGTCGCTGGTTGTTTCATGCCTCGATTTTGGTGTCTCTCGCACACCCGTAGTTTTGCCCGTGCGCAGTTGACAATGCCCGATGCCAACTCTTGGCGGCAAAGACTTGGCTTCACAGAGACATAGGGCTGGAGCACTTCAAGCAGTTCCTAGCCCACCATACCGAAGTCTAGGCAGAGTGGCAGGAGATCCGGTTGAATTGCTGCTCCTGGCAGCGCCCTGCCCCTTCCCCGCCCTTCAAACATCGGTTGTTGTAAAGCTGCGCCTTCGCAGGCTTCAACAGAACCACTGTTCTTCGATTCCTTCAGACGAGCCGTCAAACCTATGTCCCAGCCTCTTCCACATGTAAAGCTTTGGGCAGGGCGCTGAAACTCGCACATCGCTTCACGATCAGGCCTCGCGGCTGTGTCTTTTGAAGCCGAAGTTAGCTTCTGCCGACGAACTGTCTTGCAGTCTGACGGGACTGTTCTTGGGTTTCGGAATTCGGAAAGCTTTCCAGTCTGAAGCGATGCTGGGACCTTGTGGGGAAGCCTTAGCAGCCTTAGCAACTTTGGAGATGGGGAGGGGGGGAGGGGGGGGATCCGCCTCCCTCCCAGCATCTATACATCAACACTGGCTTTACATACACATATATATATATATACATATACATATATACATACAAAGTTAGTATATTAAACTGTCATATCTGCTTCTCTGCATCAGGCTTCTGCGCCCGTGGCCGCCGAGAAGCGCCTCGAGGACTCCAAGAGGCAAAGAGCTCTCGAGGCTGAGAGCGATTCGGGGCCGAAGTTCATGTGTTTGAGAGGCTTGGCTTAGGGGAGCTATCTATTCAGTGGGTCGATAGTGAGAAACTTAGAGTCGGCTTTTGTGCATAGCACCCCAGTGCGACCTGACGCTCTTTCAGTTTCACTTCGATAGTGCAGTCGCATCACGTCGCACGACTTCAACGCACCGAAACGGGAAACAGGGTCGATAAGATATGGAACGCACCAGAACAAGATATATGTAGAGCCGATGTCGCTGTGGATCGAGAGGAGGTGTGGTCTGAGTCTTGCCTCCGCGACAGCACACCAGCTGAGAACCCCAACGGTCGCTCCTGCCTGAAGGACATGCCTGCGAGAGAGGTCACGGACTCCCAACAGTCGCAGCAGACACGACCTCAAACTCTGCGGAAGCACTCTACCTTCGGCAGCCTTGCTGAAACTTTGGCTGCTATGTATGTGATAGCCATATCCTGCGTGTTTGCATCTTGAATTATATGTCTTGTTGTCGTTATGTCTTATAGTCCTGTATATCTGCATCAACAGGTGGGAAGGAAAATCCGCTGGGCCGTCTTTTCCGCGGGATTGCGCAGGCTTACACTCGAATCGGATGGTAGGTGTCGTCCTGCTGCGCCGTTGCCCCAGGCATCTCCGACTACCAGAGTGAGCTGAAAGTTGGCCTGGCTGCGCCTCTGTCACCTGGCAAGCTGAAGCACTGATTGGTCCTTTTGCCTCTTGGGAACTTGGTGCCGAGAATGCACAACCTGCAGGCCTGCCATCTCCAGAAGCACCGCCTCACTACAGATGTCCAGTGGAGTAGGCGCAGCAGGCAGTGGCACTGGTGCGGCAGCAGTGCAGCGTGCAGAGATGGAGAGATGGGCTGCCAGTCATGAAGAGCTTTCGGATGGCTTTAGGAGTAGAAGTAACATGCGCAGCCTCCCCACTCCCCCTTTGGAATGCCTGGGCTGTGACAGGTCAATCAGGAAGCTGCTGCCGTCGTCGGTGTTGCTCTTGGTCTCGATATATTGCAACCTGGCGAAGGGACACACCGGCTTCCATGAAACTAATCCGTTCCTCAGCAGGACATGGCGGCATTGCTCAGAAGCCTTACCCGGATTGTCCCAGCATGGATCGATCAGATCCTCAGTTTCTGAGTATCTCTGGCTCTGAGGCGACCACCCCCGAAGAGGACTTGAAGGGGGGGGGGGGGGGGGGGGCGAGGCTCCAATATGACCCGCTCCACACCACAAGGTAGCCAAGGTATCTACACCACTTCACTCTTAGAATCATCGACGAGGCCGCGATAAATCTGAATCCTCCACACCTTCCTAGCAGGAAACCGCCCACAGCCAGCTGTCCAAGTTGGCTTCGATCATGCTGGATGATGCTTGGACACAGGGCTCGGGCCAAGGGCCCAAGGTATGTTGCATTTCACGAAGTTCAGCTATTCGTAGTTTACTGAAAGCACTGACCTGAGACTCTGAGAGGGAGGAACGGCAGGGACCATCAAATCAACCGAAAGCGTCAAGCAGAAGATGTCAACGAGGATTCCAAAACTAGACACTCCTTGAGGAAGCCAATGAGAGCCACCGGACGGCCATGGAGGAGCCGCCTGCCAACATGGAAGGATTGGAGCTTACATTCATTGCAAACCAGAGTGTCCTCGGTGAACAAGGTATCCACCCCTCAAGTATGACTGCAATGATGTAGAACCCGAGAGAGAGACACACACAAAACATAACAGAGTCTCGCTTCACTGTGGAGGGGCCGGCAAGAGGTGGGGGTTATAAAAGAGGTATCTCCAGGCCAGTAGGCTTCCTCTGCCTTTCAGTTCCCGCAACAGCTGGGGCACTAAGCCTAAGCACCACCATGATACACTCGTGAGCATGTGTGAGCACTGCACCGTAAGGTATTGGGAGCTCATGCTCGGAGCCGAGGCCGCGAGACTTAGGGGAAGCTGCCTTGCACCCCACCTCCAGCTCGGCGAATCTGACACTCCACTGTACCGGCTGTGCCCTATATATAAACTAAAGGGGACCAAAATCACGTTGAGTTGGTTGCAAAGAGTGTGGCAGGTGCCCTATGAAGTCCGGTCGAAACGATGGTCGGACGACCTCGGCTTCCAGCACCTCGGGCCACGGATATTTGAAGGGTCGTGCTCAAACTGCAGACACACACACACACACCTTTGGCCGCCTTAGATTTCGATCCTTGTTCGCTGCTCTGGGCCTTGCAGTTGCATGGAGGCATAGCCTTACTGACTTATTATTAACGGTAGCAAAGTCGATCAGCCGCTGCAGTTGCGAAAAGGAGCGCCAATCCCTGGACCGACTTCCGTGGAGGAGGCCATATGGCAGTTCGCCTCGCAAACTCTGCAAAATTGAGGTGGCTCATGAGAGTCTACTGAGCCGACTGCTGCGTGAAGCCGGCGTAACAGCAGCACTCAACACCTGACCCTGGCACATGAAGACACCTTTCAATGGCCTGAATGTCCCTTGTCGGAGGCCTTCTGTCTTTGCGCTGTCTCCTCTACTTTGCAGACAAGCATACTGCCCAGGCTGCGCAAGGTAATTGTGAAGAGATGCGAAGAAGTTTGGCTGTGATAACACCCCTATGTTGATGCTGATCATATAGAGCTTTGTGGTGCAAAAATGCCCCAAGACAGGCCAGATGGCATTCAACCGTTTCGCAGTGTCAAGCCAAACTTTGGGGGCGCACCGAAATCTATTGAAAACTAGGCTCTCCTGCCGCCTGACTGCTCGAGGCACGGCGTCTAATGGAGGAGGCGAAGTTTCCTTCACGCGTCAGCAGCTCAGACTTCTGCAACTCAGCGTCGGTTGCGTGGATCAAGTATCCCGGCTGGAAGCCTAAGCCTGCTCTCGATCCCATGTGAGGAGTAGAGGAGGTAGGGGAAGTGACCTCTCGGCCCTAAACCCTAAGCAAAAAACCCTTGCCTGCCTTGTGCGAGAGTGAGCGACTAAACCCTAAACCCTAAACCCAAAACCCATGAGTTGAGGCTTGGTATCCTTTCTCAGCTGCCGGCATTACGATTTGCCAGCTACTTGCGGTCCACCTGCGGCTGCACGCGCGGCCTATGCTGGGTCCTGCCTGGGGCCTTAAGTGAAGACAAGTAGCCACACATGGGGGCTGCCGGAAATAGGGGTGCCTTCCTGGAGCTCCCATATTTGGGGGGTAAAAAGGGGTAATTACCCCTACCTGTAGGAAACCCCCCCCCCCCCCCTATGAGCCAATGCAAGTAGAGTCTCATTGCGACAGGCTTCTGATACTGGCATATTCTTGTCCGGACCCATTTGGCTTGTCCTGGCAGCACTCAGACTTTCAGGTAAAGACGCTCCCTGCAGCGCACCCCTTGGCCATGAAGCGCTTTCTGCGGCTTGGATTCCAGATTTTGCCAAGGCATGCAAACAATTTGAAGTCCAACTGCAGCTTGAAATTTAAGGGGGCGTTCGCTGACAGGTTGTCAGGCATGCAGGAGTTTCAGAAAAGGGGCTTCATGACTCACGGGTCGGGGTTTTTGCCAGGAAGTCTTGTAGCTCTTTAAGCCTATACACCCCAAACTGCCCCCCCTGGACTGACGAAGCCTGCGCTTCTTGAACTTCTTGTTGAAATTCATAATCTGCCCTGTTCTTGATTCGTCTCGAAGCTTCGCTGAACGCGCAGAAAACATATGCTCGTGAAGGGTTTGAGGGACCGGGTTAGCTGAGCACAGGTTTCTTTCAGGGCTTCAGGCCTGTAGACAGGCGGTAGACAGGCGGTCCACCTGCTGACAGGGTCCGTGGTCTCAGTTTATAGTAGCACGATGAATCGCCTCCTTCTTTCGAACTAAGGGCTGAGCTTGCTAAGAGAGATCCCGTGGAGGTCTTTGCGAGCGACTGGGCGGCAGGCGTTTTCATGCATAAGATTCAATGAGTCTTCTGTCTTCATCTCCAAGTCTAGGGTCCAAAACGGTACGGGGCTAGAAAAACAGAACGTGCAACCTATGAGATATTTCTGCATCACAGGAGCTAAATTTCCTCGGTCCCCTCTCAGGCTACTGGATGGCTGCGCTGTGCAAGCTTCACAAGGAGCCGACATCGCAAGCGCCATGTCAGCTGGCTTGGGCATCCAGTCCCAGAATCACGCCGGGAAGTAGAGCCTCTCCCTGGTTTTAGACAGCCCAAATGCTGACTGTAGCCGTATGGCGCAGAGAGTAGCCTGCCAGGAGTGGCAAGAGCTGTGCGTTCGGGATCCGAACGCCAATATCTCAATGTCCTTCAACCGTGTCTACGAGTACGCCGCTGGACTGTGTGGGAGTGGCTTTAGGGTTTGGAGCACAATGAAGCACACAGCATTAAAACTTCCAACAGCGGCCACACCGATCTCTACAAATCACAAGACCTCAAGGGCAAGCTCAAACTACGGGCTTTCGGCATATGAGCTCCCGCTAAACCTTGGCAAAATCCTCCAGAGGTGGGTGTGGCTGTGGAGAGTGCGTTGGCCACGAAACACTCCGACCGCTTGCGTGTCCTCAAAGAGGTGAACGCCAGGCACACCCTGTCAATAAGCGTCACTGTCCGAGGACTTTCTTCAAGGTGAGTGTTGATAGGAATGCCAGGGGGGTCTTGTGTAAGTAGAGAATTGAGTCTACATTACACGTGCCCAGCTGGCGCAGGTCCTCCATTACTAGCAGCCACAACTTGCTCGTTCGCATCTCGGCGCGTTCAAGCTCCCGGCTACAAGCGAGTCATGCAGGTTTCTGGGTGGTTTCCGTGGTTGTTCTGTGAAGCTGCTTTTGCACGAACGCTGGCACCGCAACTCCATCTGAGGCGCGGAGCTTCTTGGATGAGAAGAGTGGTTCTGCTGTCTAGTCATTATGAGATATTAGGAGTAGTGTGGATGATGAAAACAGCATGGCAGTAGCTTGGCGAGTCGATGAGGTCTAGGGTCCTCGTCGGCATGGTGCGGTTGGAGCACCTCTTCCTTTGTCTCGGTGCCTCGGTGTTGGACAAAAAGAGCCCGAAGGTCGTCGCAGTTCCACGAGAGAATTGGGGCATTGAAAGGTTTTGAGTGATGCGAAACGGCTGAGGCTACAAGCTGAAGAGCTCCCGGCCTAGCCTGCAGGATGAGGAGGACTTCAAGGCCAGATCGGTTGCGTGGTGCAATGGCGAGGCGCTGTTCACCCCATAGATGTTTGGCATTCTGGATCTTCTGTGTCTGTGTGGTTTCAGGCATTCAAACTTGTGGGGTCTCAAGCATGTACATTTAAGCAGGTTCAGCCAACCCGAACCAGATCAAGCCTCTTGGCTGAGAGAGAGAGAGAGAGAGAGAGAAGAGCCTGCCGTCAATATTTCACCAAGACCTGACTCACCTCCGGGCGCGCCTGGTGCGCGGGGGTTTTCCCCCAAGCCCTGCAGAAGAAGAAGAAGAAGAAGAAGAAGAAGAAGAAGAAGAAGAAGAAGAAGAAGAAGAAGAAGAAGAAGAGAGAGAGAGAGCGAAGGAACCTTTGGGAGTAAATGTGTGTATTTGCTTCTGGCTTTAATTAATGCCTGGAGAATCTGCAGGGCAAGCCGGAACACTATGTTGCACATGGACTCGCATGCAGGGCTCAGTGATGGAGCGCACTACCAGAAAGTGCTTTGACGAACCCTCATCACTTACAGCCGCATGTAACAATGTAGTATAGAGCAGACCGCTCCGGCTTTGCAGTCTGAGGTTCCTCGGTGGACAGCGACTCGGCTTCAACCCTTGCTTTGTGAGGAGGGAGCTGCGACATCCACACGGCGACGTTCGCTAGAAACACCCTGCTCTACAACTCTACAATCGCAAGAGATGTGACACTCTTTTCCGGATTCTAGAGATGTCGTCCGAAAGGTTCGCCCAGTAAGAATTGGCAGTCCGATCCTGAAACGATGCTTCATAGCTGTTCATAAGTTCTGGGATGAGCTAGGTGATGTGTCGATGGCCGTGCCCGAACTGATCGACTCGGCAGAGGCTCCTAAGCTGCTTTCATGTTGGAGCCTGTGCAAAGCTTGGACTTTACGAAAATAAGGGACCCCTACTATAGACCCCCAAATAGTAGGATCCCCTTAGAATCAGGACCCCAAAAAAGGTACCCCTATTTTCGGAAACCCCCATTTGGGTTCGCAGAACAGGTAGAGGCTACGTGTTGTCGAAAGTAACAAAAGCCCCACCCCTCCTTTGCTTCGGGAAAGTCTGGGGTTTGTTCCATATAGAGCCCCAAACCCAACACATTTTGAAACGTGAACAAAAGTGAACTCCAGACCAGATGTCCTGAACGACAAAACGTTCCTTGCAGCCTGGCAGACGGGAGAAACCGATGCTTCCTCTCGGTTGTTGATGCTTCCTCTCCCTGAAGGTCTACCGCTTATACAGGGGTGCCTGCGGCGCTGAGGGGGACATTCAGGCAAGTTTGTGCGGGGTGTTGCGACTTGCGAATCTGTCCCGCATTGTAGGCTTACGGATTTGTGGTACAGTGAGGGATGTGCTCGGGGCAGGAGCGATGTCGCATCTGGGTGGCTTGGATCAAGCAACATATTGGTCGCGTGGGGGTCCGGAAGCATCAAGCCATGTAAGCTCAACTACGTGTATAGCTGCCACCCAAGCAGGTGCGCATTGTAGAGACGAATGCCTCTGACCCATGGCATCTCGTTTGCCAGCTTCCAAGGTGGACTTCACGCGTTTGCAGGTTGCAGTCGCCGAGTACAACACCCCCGCATCCTCTGCGAATTGCATATCCCTTCTGGACATTACGTGGTGTCACTGCGACGCAGTGGACCAGGACCAAACTCAGTCTGCAAAGGGGCGCTGGCAGAGAGTATAGGTTTGGGCATCAGCTCATCCGGGCATCTCTGTCTTTTCAGGATTCATCCTGGCTCTACCGCATCGACGTTTTCAGCCGGAACCCTCCGAAAGGCGCCATCATTCCATGTTGGCAGAGGTTGTCAGTGGGACTCAGTTGCTTGCTGAAACGTGGTGAGGAGGAGCTTCTCCGACACGCCAAACTCGGCCGGAACCCATGCAGAAGCCTAGAATTAGCGCACCTTGACCAGGACAAGTGGATCGATGTGAGGGGTTCTTGCTTGTAAAGTGTCGTCACAGAGAACGCTTTGGCGTGCCACACCGAAACCCCGGTTTGGGGGCTCTACTCTATGCCCAGAGCTTTGTGCTTGCTTTAACTTGTTGCAAGCTCTCAGGTTGCAGGGTCCTCGACCGCATTGCAAGAATTCGGCTGCTTGGCTTGGGCTCTCAGGTTGCTGCTTTTGTTGCTATTATTTATTTCTATGTTTATGGTATTATTGTTATTTTCAAAGTTTGTCGTGCCCAAGCTGTACAAGTCAGTGCGCGCCGGCACGGGCAGCGCCCAGGACTCGCGCTACAAAAGCTGCTGAAGTCTCGGGACAACGAGGGTCACGGCCGCCTGTACTTCATCCAAAAGCGACTCTTTCAATATCTCTGGAGATCGGTCCAGCTGTCAGTCAGTGAGGAGCGCGTGGCCTAAATTGCCAAAAAAATCACTCTTGAGGGAACGCAGTTTATCTACTGCACGAACTAGGTTATGGCTGCCTTGTGCAACTTAGTCCGCTCGAGCCTGAAGTTTTGCCAGGCAATCTCAGCAGGAATCTCTCGTACTTGCATGGTATCGAGAAGTGAATCATTTGAAGGCAAGTTGTCTCTTCCGTACAGCTCTCGCCCTGCAGGATCGGCTGGTGGAGGCGCAGGCAGTCTTGGCTTTCAACCTGAATCCAAAGGACGGGCTGAGCTTTAAGCACAGATGTCTTGCACGTCTCACCTTGAGACCTTCTGCCATCTAGCAGCACTCACCAGCGGGCATTGCTTTAGCTGCTTGGACGTCATCTTGCGCAGAGGATGGCATCGCATACTTGAAGCGTGTTCTGGACTGCACTTGGCCTGCGGACTTGGCACTTGGCACAGTTCCGAATGCTTTCCTACAGCATGCCAAATGCCGCGCCCAGGGAAATTGAAGAAGGACACCGATGATGCCTCCTTGCTGAAGCCAGTATTGACATGCCATGCAGCAGGTCCGCGGTAGTCCGAGCAGCTGCTTAATTAATACCCCCACATTTAAAGATTTGTTTCATCGCGGAACCCTGCCTTTCTTATTGTGGCGGGAGGGGGGGGGGGGCCCTTCCCAATGAAACAGGTGCTCGGATTAGTATTCTCCAGCCGGGAGTCTCATTACGACACTTTTGGTTGTTCCGAGTCTAGGGGTTCCTGCGGTGTACTAAGCCAAGGAGATTGGTGAATGGCTCTCGCAGGTGTGCACAGAACGTGGCGGCCTAGATCCAACGATGCTAGGACCGTCCCCCCACAGCTAGATCCGAGTTCGAAGCGCCAGGGCACTGCGCGATTCAGCATGGCTGCATGGATGGCTGTCGACCATGTGGGCATGTACATGGGCATACCCATAGTAGCTGCTACTAAGGACTGATATTCTTTGGGGTATCCTACTAAGTAGCATACCTGAAAGAATATCAGTCCTTTTTTTTGCGCCCCTCCAGAAAGGGATACCACCATGAAAGCTTTTACGTAGGTTTGAACGTAGGCTCCCGAGACCGGCGCAGGAGACTACTTCAGCAGACGAGACACCCTGCAAATTTTTTGGAGCTTCGTGAGCCGCATTGCAGCTCAGATGACTCAGATACACTTCTGTGGCTGCTTCCACAATTCCGTTTTGCGCTTTAAAGCTGATGGGCTACTGACTCCTAGTCTGGATAGTCTCAAAGAAGGGGCCAGAGATGACTGAGAGGCGGCAATCCTGCTCAGAACTAACACGACTAAACGTGCCGAAGCAATCCTGCGTCAACCGCTGGGATTAAGAAGCATGCAACTCACTGAAAGCCGTGAGCAGCCTGTGTTGCCAGAGGGGTCACCTATTGCTTCCAAGGATTTCTCCAAGCAAGATTTGGTTTCTGCACTGCGACAGCTCTTTGACACCTTCAAACCAGGAGGAGAGGGGCAGGCGACTGGGAGCTTCGCAGTCATCATAGCTTGCTCATGCTGATTCATGCTTATTCCCCTTGCCCTAGCTGTCCTACGATGTCCTGGTGAACGTCCCACGACATGAAATCCACATCGATGCTATTTGTCCTGGAGTCGCTAATAAGGTGATCACACGCATCTTGGAGCATTTTGCGGAGTCCTACTATCTGCAGCCCAGCTGCCATCATGGCTCCGCATGCACTGTGTAGACTGTGTGCCAGGCCCAAGGCTAGCGAGGCTATTTTGACCTGGTGCCATGACAGCCATGATGTGTCCTTGTCATGATGCGACATGGGACTTATCGGCCTCTCCAGTGAGCAGCTCTAGGCAATGGCAGAAGAATCGTGACTCCGCCAGTAGCCTGACCAACTTCAAGTCCTCCGACACTGTTTTCCAGGCGCGGGGTGTAAGATCCGAATGCTAGTTAAAGGGCAAGGCTGGCAAGGATATGGGAAGCTGCAGAAAACCAATGCAGCACACCTACAATCGCCGTCCTTCTCTGAAGCACCAAACCCTTATCTGCCAAACAAAAAGCTTGGATGTGGGTCCGCTTCGCGCCTTGCGCGGCAGGTGGCCGTCAGTGACTTGGCAAGTCAGGTGCTGGAAGAGGAGGTATGTTCGTTTTTGCTAGCTGCTAGCTCCCTTATCTGATTCTCAAGTTCTAAAAATATACTGATTCATGAACATGGTTGGTTGGCGAAACAACTCCAACTGCACATGTCACCCCTTAGAAGAAGAAGAGCAGTGGGCGGAGCTGCGCCTTGCAACCAAGGCCTGATCATGCTGAACACAGGCCTGCACGTGGCCAGCAAGAAGCTGAAGAAGGCGAACACAGCAGCCATGACCTTGGAGGAATACATCTCCAACACAAGGCTCGGGGGGGTTTGCTGGCACTCTGTTGCCTGTGGTAGGTGACGAGGCAAGGCAAGATTCACTAAGCTTCACCCCGCGTTTTATCTCAAAACCCCGGGATGGTATTTGTAGCACATCCGGCTTGTGTCACCCAGCTTCCAGGCCTTGATCTGGGTCAGGGTTCTATGGGCATGCCATGCAATATCCACGGCAAGTGGTGGAAATGGAACAAGGCCCTCACAGGCAAAGGCGTGATAGCAATCAACCCATCGGGGTGGATTTGCTGTGGAGCTGCTCCCCTGGGAGAGGGTCCGAGAGAGATGGCGTGACCAGGGTCTATAGGGGATCGTGTTGACTGAGCCTCATGCTGGGGTACCAGATTTCATCAGTCGCTGGCTGTCCTTGGCTAGATGCTACTTTGACACTTGCAGAAACATGCCCAGCGTCAAAGCCTCGAGCGCCGGATTACCACCAGAAGGAATGAGAATTGCGACACATCAGTCTGTGATTCTCTAGATGCAACGGCCTGAAGAACAACAGGAAAATCAGAAACTGGACCGCGAATCAGAAACTGCGCATCAGAAACTGCGCATCAGAAACCAGCCACGCATCTGACACTCCGCATCAGAAACTGGCGCGCATCAGCAACTGCGCATCAGAAACTGCGCGCATCAGCAACTGCGCATCAGAAACCACCGCGCATCAGAAACTGCGCATCAGAAACTGCGCATCAGAAACCACCGCGAATCAGAAAACTGCAAACATGCGCATCAGAAACCCACGCGAATCAGAAACTGCGCGTCTGAAACCCACGCGAATCAGAAACTGCTTTTTCAGAAACCGGGTGGGGGGGGGTGGGGAGGGGTGGGGGGGGGGGGGGGCAGTCGCGTGCAGGCGGCCAGCCATGTCAGAAACTGCCTTTCGCAAACGCGGTGGGGGGTCAGAAAACGGGGTGGGGGGGGGGGTTGGGGTGCAGGCGGCCAGCCCATGTCAGAAACTGCTTTTCAGAAACGGGGGGGGTGGGGGGGGGGGCAGTCGCCCAGCCATGTCAGAAATTGCTTTTGCAGGGGCCAGCCCATGTCAGAAACTGCTTTTCAGAAACGGGGGGGGGGGGGGGGGGGGGGGGGGGGCAGTCGCGTGCAGGCGGCCAGCCATGTCAGAAACTGCCTTTCGCAAACGCGGGGGGGGGCGCCCAGTCGCGTGCAGGCGGCCAGCCCATGTCAGAAACTGGAAACGGGGTGGGGGGGGGGGGGGGCAGTCGCCCAGCCCATGTCAGAAATTGCTTTTCAGAAACCCATGTCTGAAGTTGCAAGAGCCCTGAGACCTAAACCTTAAACCCTGAACCTTAAACCCTAAACCCTAAACCCTGAACCCTTAACCCTAAAGCCTAAACCTTAAACCCTGAACCCTAAACCCTACACCCAACCCCCTGAACCCTAAACCCTCCGGTTTCCAAATCGGCCGTTCACCAGTTTCCGAATCAGGCGTTCACCAGTTTCCGAATCAGATGTTTGCCAGTTTCCGAATCAGCCGTTCACCAGTTTCCGAATCAGCCGTTTGCCAGTTTCCGAATCAGCCGTTCACCAGTTTCCGAATCAGCCGTTTGCCAGTTTCCGAATCAGCCGTTTGCCGGTTTCCGAATCAGCCGTTCGCTAGTTTCTGAAACATCCGTTTCCTGGTTTCCGAATTTCCCGTTTTCAGTTTCTGATTCAGCCGTCTGGGTTTCTGATTCAGCCGCCCTGGTTTCTGATTCAAGCTTGGTTTCTGATTTTCCCGTTTCGGTTTCTGATTCAGGTCTGGTTTCTGATTCAACCGTTCTGGTTTCTGATTCAACCGTTCTGGTTTCCGAAAATTCCGTCGACCACGGCCTGAAACCCACATTTGCCACATCCTGCCACGCCTAAGCGTGAAAAGCCACACCACTGAGAAGCCTCACGCCTCGATCCGGTTTCCTAGTTCACGAGGTGCCTGCCGCACCAGGTCTTTCAAACACGAATCCAATGCACCCTCAAGCCAGCAAGTAGACAAGAGAAGCACTTGGACTCTTCAAGAATCACGAGACCCCTGTTCTGCAGTGAAGGCGTTTGGTTTCCGAGGAGGAGGTCCCCAACGAGGCTCTGAGGCAGATCTGACAAAAGGTTCAGGGTTTAGGGTTTCGGGTTTATGGACTTTTTGGAGATTCATTGCAACAAGGGGGCTGAATGGCGAAACTCCAGTGTGCTAAGTCAGGTGGAGGGTGGAGCTTAGATGAGCTCAGCACCTTGAAGAGAGAGTTCACTATTGGTTTCGAGGGTTGGTCTCCAATGCCTGTGGGGTTGGGGCGGCTGTAGAGCGGATTTCTGATGATTTCGAGCCTTCATGGTGCAAGGCAGGGATTTCTTGCCATTTTCGTGCAGATCTGTGCACTTCCCTGGCAGGACCTGGTTCGAGGACATCAGCTGCTGGGTGTTCATCTGTAGTGAGTACATGTGAAGGGTAACAGGTAACACGCGCGCTCGTTTTCAAAAGAGTCTTCCCTGAGAATTCACCTGATAAACCCCGTCAAGTCAAGCCCTGTAGCACCGCACCACCAGGAGGACTAGCAAGGGGGACCACATGTGGAACAGACTGACATAAAACATCATGGTACAGCTTGAAGCGGTTGGCGGAGACGATGCTTGAAACTGTTTAGTGCGCACATACACTCATTTTCGCGTTTGAGGTTGTACAGAGATCTCCGTGGAACCCATGCCACGCACGCCTTTCTCCAAGCTGCCTGTCCAACCGAACATCGAGGGATGGCCCGGGCCTCAGAAAGGACGAAATGATGTTTTGCCCACTTGCGGAGAGTAGAGCGGTCACTGCCCCATCGGTCATCCAACCTTGTTCGAGCACATCATTTTGCACCACCATTGAGCCCCTGCAGGTTTAGCATCCTTAGAACCCCACAAGCATTAAGTGCTACTTTGTGGTAGAGCTGGTCTGCTGCGCAGATGGCCACCTTCAGAAGTTATAGGAGGGCGGAGGGCTGCAGCACGCCGCTAGTCACAACGGCTACTGCGCAGGCTCGTGGCTGTGATGGATGGGTCGCTTCGCCTCCGATTCTGGGCCGTGCTGGTCACCGCCTCATGTGTGGCTGCACCCCACCAGCTGAGCAGACACTGCATAGCTGCATACCATGTCCTTCCAGGCGTTTGCTGAGGGCAAGCATGTGGGAAGATCACGCTGAAAAGATAAAACTGTCGTTGCTTTTGGTTCCTCAATACGTTTGTTTTTTTCGTAAGGTGCTCCAGCGCATCTACCTCTTCTCAGACTCGCAGGGCGACGTGGACCCTGAGGATGTCATCGACTTAAAGGATGTAGCAGTCGCAGCGCTCGCAGACGCTTAGTCCTAAGCCCAGAGTTTACGGAGGGGGGGATCATGGGGGCTTCAGTGATTCAGTGTTTAGACAGCAGCACAACTGCCTTCCCCACCCCCCGGCCCCCAAACATTCCGAGGCAATAAAGTTTTGTGAAGGAGTGGGGAAGTGTTTAAAGATGGTGCGCGGCTCCCTCGACCTTTAACCTATAAGTCTTAAGCTTATAATGTTTCTAAACCAACCTGCCCTGCAGCCCTGCAACCGTTGCCTTACATGCTTCCCCTAACTGCCAATAGTTTCCCCTCTGTCTTTCTTTTTTGTTACGGGCCCCTGTTTGTGGTGTTTTTATGTAGGCATCATTGCCCGAAGAGTGCAACAACCACCAGAGCTTGGTATTCAGCTCTGGGGCTGGGGGCAACTTCGCACCCAAGGAAGACAGCGCTGCAAAAAAGCGGTACACAAGCAACCTGCCGCTTGTTTGCAGTCATTAGCCCTAGACTCCGGGCTAGAACAGCTTGGAAGAGCAGGGCCAGTTTGTTTTTTGGTGACGTCGCCTGACATAGTAGCATCTGTAATTCTTTTCTTAAGCCATGCAGATGCGGACGCCGGTTCGATCCCAAATGACCATACTCGGTGCTAACGATGATCTCCAGCATGGCTAGTAAGAATACCAATGATGCTGCCAGGGCCATTATTGGTCGCTCTGATTACTTAGCATTGCATTAGCATGAGTACTGGTATGCTGACAAACAAAAGAAACAGGAGTTTGAGAATCCAACGCTGCTTTCGTATTAGTATCCGCATGTTTACCACCATCAGCAGACATACTGTAGGTTTTTGGCAGAAGCAATGAAATAGTACTTCTTCTTCTTCTCGCGTGTTCATGCCAAGGAAAAGCCACAAATCTTGCTGCTGCATGGCAAGCCGGCTCCCCGCGCCCTGGCAGATGGAGGCCGCCAGCAGGCAGGGGACAAACAAATAGGGTTTAGGGTTTAGGGTTTAGGGTTTAGGTTTAGGGTTTAGGTCCTGAAAGGAGTTGCCCAGTTCTATCACCTTAAAAAGTTCTGTAAATATACAAGCTACACAGTGCCACCCCTTTTGTATGCACATATCAATGCAAAGCAAAATAGAATCAATTAATTAAATGCCCATTGGAACCCATTTGGCCAAATTTGAAGGCAGAGGGTTCTTTTTCTTCACAGATTGCCTTTCTGCGGCAGGGGCTTCTTGAAATCAATGTCGTCCAAGTCGAATGGTGGCATGAAAATCCGGTGAGTGGAAGCTGCCACAGAAGCGAACACATTGGAACCAACTGGGACAAGGACCACAACCATGAGGACCTCAAACCTGCACTCCCAAACAATCAGCAATTGACAGAAAATACCCAAGACGCCGGGAGTGCCTAAGCATGGCAAGTTTCCGAAGCTGGTAGCCTACGGAGTCCAGGCATTGATGTGACAGACCATGCAATGCAAGGAGCCTTGCCCAGTTTTCGTGTTCAAAGGATTCCTCTGCAAACCACACCTGCCCTGTGCCCCATTGGCCTCAGGGCGCTCGAAATCTCACAGCGCTCGCCGGGCCCACCAGCGATCCTGACCAAGTCAAGCCTCTTTGGAGCAGAAGCTGCAGTCATTCTGAGCTGAATGAAATGTAGCCCTTTGCAGGCTGCAGCCCTCCAGGAACTTGTGATTTCAAGGTTTTCTCCGGTTCAGGTTGTCCAAGGCACAAGTTCCGTGACCGTGGGCTCTGCATCCTTCGAAACGTCTACGTAATCATGCTAGAGATAGCTGTTGGCAGCAGTTTTGAACACGACCGTCCTGAGCAAGGTCCGACGCCCCTGAAGCGGGTGGTCTTGGTGGCAGAGAGCCAAGACCTCGCCGACAAGTGGGTGTGGCTTCGATTGCAGAGTATGCGTCGACGTGCTTTGTACCATTGCTGGGGCTGCTATAGCCATAGTTGTACCAGGACCTTGAAAGAAGACACAAACAACTGAGGCACATGATCTCCTGTGGGCCCTGAGACAGCATGCGTTCCCAGGAAAAAAAGAGTGCGCTTGCTGAGGAAGCTAAAGCGCTCTCTTGGAGCTTCTGAGTTCTTGTGATTGGCAAAAGCACCCTTGCATCCTTGAAGCTTTTCGACCTTCTGGCCTCCTGAGCAGCACTTGCTGCCAGCGACGGTGGCGAGTAACAATACAACATTCTCGAAAGATAGAATGAGCAATGCAAAGTGCTGGGTAGCACAGAGTTGGGCTGCAAGGCGGAAAGCCACACCCACCTAGAACATGATGATCTGTGATGTCGAACTTTTGACCCGAAGCACCACAGCGACACCACGTGGTGCCACGCTATAGCGCCCCCTCGTGCGGCTACGTAAACTAGGACGTGGTTCTGCGAAACACGGAGTGGTCTGGTATGTCTGGTACATTATGCTCATGCTGTGGCACCTACTGTAGCCTCCAGGTTGGGTCAAGCTCGTCCTCAGTCATTATAGAGACTCGCAGCTCGGGAGCAAAGCAATGGCCCGATATGCCCAGAACACCACCTGCGGCAACACATGCCCTTGGGGCAGCGGTGATTCGAGCATGCCAGATGCCTTCACCGTTGCTGCCATGAAGGCCGCTCGCCGCAGGGAGTCCAAGGAGACGATCACCAGTGAGGCACCGAGCGTTGGCCGATCTTCTTCAGCCGGGGGCCTGGAACAAGCCCAGGTTCCGGAGCTGCAAGAGATCGCTCCGCGCCCGGATGCCTTGAAAAGCTCGCGGTCAACTGAGGCGCTGACCACATGCCGCTCAGCAGCATCGCGTGCTTCTCGCGCCTCCCGGGCATCCACGACCAAGAGTGGCAAGGATGTCGAGGTGAAGGTGATGAACTTGATCCAAAAGTGCCTGGACAAGAAGGTGCTCGAGATGCAGGAGCTCAGGATTCAAGCTCCCGCGAGCGAGGCTAGCCTGAGCGCACGCTCCACTGAGACGGCGCTGACGCAGCTCTCTCAGGCAGAGGCACCATCTCACGTTGAGACCGACACGAGTGTGAAGGCAGAGCTTCAGCCAGAAGCGGTGACCATGGCAGGCAAGCGAGCCCAGGCACAGAAGCTGTCCGATGCTGCGCTGGGGAAGTTTGACGACGACGCGTCGCGCTTGGCTTATCTTGAGATGCAGAAGAGTGCCGCAGAAGCACGCAACAAGAACCGTTCTGCCCTGTGCTTCGGCTACGAGCCTCCCTCCCGTGTGCAGGCAGAGGGCAAAACAATGGCCGGCAAGCGTGCTCAGGCTCAGAAACTCTCGGACGCTTCGCTGGGCAAGTTTGACGCCGACCAATCACGTCTTGCTTACCTTGAGATGCAGAAGAGCGCCGCAGAGGTGCGCAACAAGAACCGCTCCGCCCAATGCTTTGAGAAGGCCGAGGCTCCCCAGTATCCAGCTTTGCTGCGCGAGGTGGAGGGGCTGGCGGAGAAGGGGACTCATGCGACCATGGCAGGCAAGCGCGCCAAGGCCCAGAAGGTTTCGGAGGCCACGCTGGGCAAGTTTGATGCCGACAAGTCCCTCGGTGCGTATCTTGACATGCAGAAGAGTGCCGAGGAGCTGCGCAACAAGCACCGCGTCGGCCAAGGTGTGTTCTGAGCTGCCCCAGAGCTTGCCCAGAGCTCTGCATCTTTGTCAGTTTTGGTCTGCAGGTGTGGCCCAGCTCTCTAGAGCAGTGGCCAATTCTGTTTCAACCAGAGACCTGCACAGCGGCCATGCAGCCGCACTCTACAAGTTCCAGGTGCCTGATAGGCGCGACTGGCGTGGAAGCAGACTTCGAACATCTTTCGAAGCCAGGATAGCTCAAGTCATCATCGATCCGCCTCACGCCAGGCCTGCCTGAAGATCAACAGATCGATCAGGCTCCTGTGAGCTAGGAGCTTCTGTGGTTTAATGGTGTGCTAGCACCAGCTGGGCATCCACTCCTACAAAAGGAAGGGGCACATGTACAGCCAATCGGGCATATAGCCCAGCTTCTGTCTGGCAATCACCCTACTTCTTACTTCTCATGTTTGAAGACAAGAGACCAAAAGATGGACCAAGACCTGTCGCATCAGGCATGCCATCATCTCGCGGCTGTCCATTTGCTGCCTGCGGCTGAGGTCACTGGCCTGGGCAGCCGCGAACCCCTTGGCCTCTTTTTGCGTCGCTCGAATGCATCTTGCTACGTCGTGTCGCATCCTAGTTCAATAAGCCATACGCCATAAGCCAAGCCGAGGTAGTGCCGAGTTTCAATGGCAGTTTCTCGTCGTAGTTGCAGGGCCAACTGGACAGTTCAGCTCCGAAGCACCACAGCGACACCACGTGGTGCCACGCTATAGCGCCCCCTCGTGCGGCTACGTAAACTAGGACGTGGTTCTGCGAAACACGGAGTGGTCTGGTATGTCTGGTACATTATGCTCATGCTGTGGCACCTACTGTAGCCTCCAGGTTGGGTCAAGCTCGTCCTCAGTCATTATAGAGACTCGCAGCTCGGGAGCAAAGCAATGGCCCGCTATGCCCAGAACACCACCTGCGGCAACACATGCCCTTGGGGCAGCGGTGATTCGAGCATGCCAGATGCCTTCACCGTTGCTGCCATGAAGGCCGCTCGCCGCAGGGAGTCCAAGGAGACGATCACCAGTGAGGCACCGAGCGTTGGCCGATCTTCTTCAGCCGGGGGCCTGGAACAAGCCCAGGTTCCGGAGCTGCAAGAGATCGCTCCGCGCCCGGACGCCTTGAAAAGCTCGCGGTCAACTGAGGCGCTGACCACATGCCGCTCAGCAGCATCGCGTGCTTCTCGCGCCTCCCGGGCATCCACGACCAAGAGTGGCAAGGATGTCGAGGTGAAGGTGATGAACTTGATCCAAAAGTGCCTGGACAAGAAGGTGCTCGAGATGCAGGAGCTCAGGGTTCAAGCTCCCGCGAGCGAGGCTAGCCTGAGCGCACGCTCCACTGAGACGGCGCTGACGCAGCTCTCTCAGGCAGAGGCACCATCTCACGTTGAGACCGACACGAGTGTGAAGGCAGAGCTTCAGCCAGAAGCGGTGACCATGGCAGGCAAGCGAGCCCAGGCACAGAAGCTGTCCGATGCTGCGCTGGGGAAGTTTGACGACGACGCGTCGCGCTTGGCTTATCTGGAGATGCAGAAGAGTGCCGCGGAAGCACGCAACAAGAACCGTTCTGCCCTGTGCTTCGGCTACGAGCCTCCCTCCCGTGTGCAGGCAGAGGGCAAAACAATGGCCGGCAAGCGTGCTCAGGCTCAGAAACTCTCGGACGCTTCGCTGGGCAAGTTTGACGCCGACCAATCACGTCTTGCTTACCTTGAGATGCAGAAGAGCGCCGCAGAGGTGCGCAACAAGAACCGCTCCGCCCAATGCTTTGAGAAGGCCGAGGCTCCCCAGTATCCAGCTTTGCTGCGCGAGGTGGAGGGACTGGCGGAGAAGGGGACCCATGCGACCATGGCAGGCAAGCGCGCCAAGGCCCAGAAGGTTTCGGAGGCCACGCTGGGCAAGTTTGATGCCGACAAGTCCCTCGGTGCGTATCTTGACATGCAGAAGAGTGCCGAGGAGCTGCGCAACAAGCACCGCGTCGGCCAAGGTGTGTTCTGAGCTGCCCCAGAGCTTGCCCAGAGCTCTGCATCTTTGTCAGTTTTGGTCTGCAGGTGTGGCCCAGCTCTCTAGAGCAGTGGCCAATTCTGTTTCAACCAGAGACCTGCACAGCGGCCATGCAGCCGCACTCTACAAGTTCCAGGTGCCTGATAGGCGCGACTGGCGTGGAAGCAGACTTCGAACATCTTTCGAAGCCAGGATAGCTCAAGTCATCATCGATCCGCCTCACGCCAGGCCTGCCTGAAGATCAACAGATCGATCAGGCTCCTGTGAGCTAGGAGCTTCTGTGGTTTAATGGTGTGCTAGCACCAGCTGGGCATCCACTCCTACAAAAGGAAGGGGCACATGTACAGCCAATCGGGCATATAGCCCAGCTTCTGCCTGGCAATCACCCTACTTCTTACTTCTCATGTTTGAAGACAAGAGACCAAAAGATGGACCAAGACCTGTCGCATCAGGCATGCCATCATCTCGCGGCTGTCCATTTGCTGCCTGCGGCTGAGGTCACTGGCCTGGGCAGCCGCGAACCCCTTGGCCTCTTTTTGCGTCGCTCGAATGCATCTTGCTACGTCGTGTCGCATCCTAGTTCAATAAGCCATACGCCATAAGCCAAGCCGAGGTAGTGCCGAGTTTCAATGGCAGTTTCTCGTCGTAGTTGCAGGGCCAACTGGACAGTTCAGCTCCGAAGCACCACAGCGACACCACGTGGTGCCACGCTATAGCGCCCCCTCGTGCGGCTACGTAAACTAGGACGTGGTTCTGCGAAACACGGAGTGGTCTGGTATGTCTGGTACATTATGCTCATGCTGTGGCACCTACTGTAGCCTCCAGGTTGGGTCAAGCTCGTCCTCAGTCATTAAAGAGACTCGCAGCTCGGGAGCAAAGCAATGGCCCGATATGCCCAGAACACCACCTGCGGCAACACATGCCCTTGGGGCAGCGGTGATTCGAGCATGCCAGATGCCTTCACCGTTGCTGCCATGAAGGCCGCTCGCCGCAGGGAGTCCAAGGAGACGATCACCAGTGAGGCACCGAGCGTTGGCCGATCTTCTTCAGCCGGGGGCCTGGAACAAGCCCAGGTTCCGGAGCTGCAAGAGATCGCTCCGCGCCCGGACGCCTTGAAAAGCTCGCGGTCAACTGAGGCGCTGACCACATGCCGCTCAGCAGCATCGCGTGCTTCTCGCGCCTCCCGGGCATCCACGACCAAGAGTGGCAAGGATGTCGAGGTGAAGGTGATGAACTTGATCCAAAAGTGCCTGGACAAGAAGGTGCTCGAGATGCAGGAGCTCAGGGTTCAAGCTCCCGCGAGCGAGGCTAGCCTGAGCGCACGCTCCACTGAGACGGCGCTGACGCAGCTCTCTCAGGCAGAGGCACCATCTCACGTTGAGACCGACACGAGTGTGAAGGCAGAGCTTCAGCCAGAAGCGGTGACCATGGCAGGCAAGCGAGCCCAGGCACAGAAGCTGTCCGATGCTGCGCTGGGGAAGTTTGACGACGACGCGTCGCGCTTGGCTTATCTGGAGATGCAGAAGAGTGCCGCGGAAGCACGCAACAAGAACCGTTCTGCCCTGTGCTTCGGCTACGAGCCTCCCTCCCGTGTGCAGGCAGAGGGCAAAACAATGGCCGGCAAGCGTGCTCAGGCTCAGAAACTCTCGGACGCTTCGCTGGGCAAGTTTGACGCCGACCAATCACGTCTTGCTTACCTTGAGATGCAGAAGAGCGCCGCAGAGGTGCGCAACAAGAACCGCTCCGCCCAATGCTTTGAGAAGGCCGAGGCTCCCCAGTATCCAGCTTTGCTGCGCGAGGTGGAGGGGCTGGCGGAGAAGGGGACTCATGCGACCATGGCAGGCAAGCGCGCCAAGGCCCAGAAGGTTTCGGAGGCCACGCTGGGCAAGTTTGATGCCGACAAGTCCCTCGGTGCGTATCTTGACATGCAGAAGAGTGCCGAGGAGCTGCGCAACAAGCACCGCGTCGGCCAAGGTGTGTTCTGAGCTGCCCCAGAGCTTGCCCAGAGCTCTGCATCTTTGTCAGTTTTGGTCTGCAGGTGTGGCCCAGCTCTCTAGAGCAGTGGCCAATTCTGTTTCAACCAGAGACCTGCACAGCGGCCATGCAGCCGCACTCTACAAGTTCCAGGTGCCTGATAGGCGCGACTGGCGTGGAAGCAGACTTCGAACATCTTTCGAAGCCAGGATAGCTCAAGTCATCATCGATCCGCCTCACGCCAGGCCTGCCTGAAGATCAACAGATCGATCAGGCTCCTGTGAGCTAGGAGCTTCTGTGGTTTAATGGTGTGCTAGCACCAGCTGGGCATCCACTCCTACAAAAGGAAGGGGCACATGTACAGCCAATCGGGCATATAGCCCAGCTTCTGCCTGGCAATCACCCTACTTCTTACTTCTCATGTTTGAAGACAAGAGACCAAAAGATGGACCAAGACCTGTCGCATCAGGCATGCCATCATCTCGCGGCTGTCCATTTGCTGCCTGCGGCTGAGGTCACTGGCCTGGGCAGCCGCGAACCCCTTGGCCTCTTTTTGCGTCGCTCGAATGCATCTTGCTACGTCGTGTCGCATCCTAGTTCAATAAGCCATACGCCATAAGCCAAGCCGAGGTAGTGCCGAGTTTCAATGGCAGTTTCTCGTCGTAGTTGCAGGGCCAACTGGACAGTTCAGCTCCGAAGCACCACAGCGACACCACGTGGTGCCACGCTATAGCGCCCCCTCGTGCGGCTACGTAAACTAGGACGTGGTTCTGCGAAACACGGAGTGGTCTGGTATGTCTGGTACATTATGCTCATGCTGTGGCACCTACTGTAGCCTCCAGGTTGGGTCAAGCTCGTCCTCAGTCATTATAGAGACTCGCAGCTCGGGAGCAAAGCAATGGCCCGATATGCCCAGAACACCACCTGCGGCAACACATGCCCTTGGGGCAGCGGTGATTCGAGCATGCCAGATGCCTTCACCGTTGCTGCCATGAAGGCCGCTCGCCGCAGGGAGTCCAAGGAGACGAT